GGGGGGGGGGGGTGTTGAATTGAATGTCAATTATTAGACCCGGACTCGCCGACACTTGCTTCGCAAGTCAAACTCAAGGTATCCCCTAAAGGGCTACCTTTCGTGATAATGGTGGCCTATTCTTCACCCCCTCGAGCCCATCGCCAGCATTCTGGATGGTCCACCCATCCCGCCTCATGGATCCACACCTGTCGAGAATGGGCAGTGCGGGTTCGCCCCCCCGCGTCGCTTGGGGACGCGTGACGGATCGTGACAGGGAATGGCACGGTGGAATTCGGCGGAAGGAGAACGCCATCGACGGAGATCCCTTGAGCTAGTGTGTCATCCACTGAACCACCGGAACTACCTGGCTGAAAGCATCGAATTTGGATGGAGAGGACTGCGGCGTATATGGTTACCTCCTGTTTCCCCACAAAAGCACATTGCTACAAATTGGTATTCCAAATTCCCCAAGTCCGTCAACACTCCATGGCCCAAGAAGATCGTCAATCCATGTTCACCCCCGCTTCACGCTGACACGCGAAACCGGACCTACAGGTTGCGGCTGAAGGAAGCAGCAGTCTCTGACCCGCCCGAGCGCGCGAATGGCAAAAAAATATCAAACGGACGGGGATGATGTCGATCTATCTTCTCTGCATTTCACCAATGATGTCTAATGATGTCTATCTTCTCTTGAGCCACAGCATCTCAACGCATCCCAACCTGAAAACGAAGGAAGAAGTCAGAAGACCTACATGTGAGTTCCTGACACTGTGTTTCTCCAAACATGAGCAAACTAGGACGGTCGCCGTGTTTTCTGGGTGGTCCCCATACAGCTGTCCTCCTCAAATGAACAGCAGTCTTTGCAAGACCTTCAGCATTCAGCATGCTTCTGGTGAGTCGATCGAGCGACATCATGCTGATTTATCAATTGCTCAATCAGTTACGCACCTCCCAAAAAGTTGAGTTTGAAGGGAAACCCAGCCCCACTACCAGCGGCAAAGGTGTCGAAGGAACGTGAAGGATGCCGAAAGACTGTGGGAATGCTGTAGGTCTCCTCTAAGCAATGCGCAGCCTTCCCGGCTTGAAAGAACCACAAAAACTGAACCAGGAGTGGCACAACATACCATGCCAAGAACATCTGTTTATGTGCCACGGTGAATATCAGCATAGAAATTGGACCAGGATTCACCTGGGGGTTGTCAACAAGAATTATTCCATCTTCTTCCTCAAACTCGTCCAATCGCTGGCCTTTCGCGCTCTGAGTGTATAAGTAGATCTCAACTATGAACTTTCTTTCTACTCCTCACCTCCTCCCCGACATAAAATAGATCTCTGGCAGTTTCCAACCATGCAGAGATGCTCTTGTTTTCCACGCGTTCGGATGCTGCTCTCCTGCTCCGGCTCGCCCTGCCCGTTCCCCATCTCTTGCTCGGAGCCCTGCGAAGCTCGACACCGGGACCAGCTCGGGACCAGGTCGGAGCCCTTCCTCTCCTCACTCGATCGGAACCGGGGTCGCGCTGGAACGCATGCCAAAGACCTTTTTCTAAATAGAAACATGTACTCAAAGACCAGAACCTGAACCAAATGGAAGGGGAGCGGTTCCGAAGGTTAGAGGTATATATACCTACTGAGCCTTAGACCTGCTTTTTTTAAGGTTGAAAAACTAAAACCTATCTTTATTCACAATGAATGATAAAAACATATCTAATCAAAAAAACATATGTTTTTCTCATATGTCCATGAATGATGCATGTTTTAACCCTGACAAAGACCATGCATACAATATATATCAACCAGATCGGGTGTTCGTCGTTCGGAGTCGTTCGTGACCTTGAACATGTGTGAGTTGAAGCCGCTCACAGAAGAACCCATGAGGAATGTGATTGGTTGTGTTTCCAATATCTTGAAACTTCATGGTTCAGTGATGCCACCAATCCCGGAACATCTTACTTTACAATCTGCCTTGGCTCCACTCCCAACTAGTTGATGTCACTCTGGAGCACAAGAGGCACTAACATGGAGCACTGTATTACCAAATTCTATCCCTTGACTTGGGGGTCTCCGGCCCATGTGTGCTTCCACCGACTTGGAGCTCAACTCCACTTCGAGGACGCCCGGCTCCCCATGTTTTTTCCGGCAGGGCTGGGCAAGATGGGTCTCCATTGTAGATGTCCTTGGCTCATGGCCCACATATGACCATTCTTCATAGATTATATTCTTGGCTGGGCTGTGGATAATTGAGATATGTGATGTTATTTTTAAACCACAAAAAACCTCTGCTCTTGAGGCAAACCTATTGGGTATTTGCTGCGTGTTCATGTGAGCAGACTATACAGCACAAGAACTTTGTGCTCAAGTTAGGTGGTAGGTTTTGGTCATTCCCAGGTGCCATGAAGTGCACGGGGCTGTGTCTAAAGTGGGAGCAATGTGCGGAGCTTCGTGAACGCTTGCGTACGACCAAAGAGCTTTTGGTTGATCACAAGGATGGTCCCATTTGCCTACCAAATAGGCCAAATGCAGTGGCCAATGCTATGGTTCTTTCCCCAGTGCTTTCGGAGCTTGCCAACACAAGCAGGTTTCGTTTGCCACACTTGGATGATTTGAGCGTAGAAGTTACTTCATTGTTCGAAAAGTGTGGCCTGTCGCTGGGAAGCAAAGCCATCTACAAGAGCTCTGTGGAAATCAAGAAGCTGGCAGGCTTTGTGAAGCGGAGGTGTGCTCGCAAGGAAGTCACCAAGGAGATGGGTTGATGTAGTTATCCATGTCAACACTGCTGAATTTGTATAGTAGCATGCCCTCCCACTTCTTGAAATACAACCTATACTTGTTTCAACATATAGTTGAAACTTGTTTTTGCTACAATACACCTTGGTAAACTTTGGCAAAACCATACAACCTTGTCATTGCCCTTGCTAGGACACTGATTTCCATAAACTCCTCTTGTTGCTGGATCCCACTCTGCAGGACTGGGTGTGCACAAGACCAATTCCAATTTTGTTTTTGCTATGGTTTGCTGTTTTATGGAACCAACAAACTGGAACCAATATTTACTGTGGGCCCTTTGCAACCCTCCAGGAAACCATTGAAACGTACATGGCATCCAAGAAATCCTCAACTTCGTCCGCTTCCAAAGATTCTCCTGATGAAGATGATGTTGATGACAACAGTGCTGATGATGATGATGATGAAGATGAGTCGAAGAAGAAAGAAGGGTTTGAAGAGTTCAAGCAGTGGTTGGATGCCATCACACCAACAACCCTCGCTACACCACCAGCAAGTAAGCCTTCCCCTCCAAGTTGCCCTGGCCCTGATGCATTGGAGAGCATCTTGGTAGTGCTTTATGATTACTGTATATTTCTATTTTGTTAGTTGAAGTCGATATTATTTTCCATCAATATAACGCAACAAAATTGATCCATATGGGCTCATCAATCCTTGCCCTTTCCATCCCAGCTTCTGTCAAGGTACAGCGAGGGCAAAGCGTCTCAAAGAACTCCAGGAGCAGATTGCTTTGAAGAAGGCTGCGCTCCAAAGGCCACTTTCCTTTGCTCAGCGCAGCCAGAGTTTAGAGGAAAACAACCTCTATAACTAAAATGTTGGTGTAAGGTGTTTTGGCCTTTGGCTACAAACCAAGTAATGCAGGGCTTCCTTTGGTGTCCACCCTTGAGAGTGCAACCAGTGGGGCACTACTGAGGAAGGCTCCTACTCCTCAACCATCCACTTCAGCAGTGACAGCTATGCCGCCACCGCCACCACCTCTGAAGAGCAAAGGTGCTGGGTTGATGAAACATGAACATATGAGAACACTTGGGACATAAACTGGGTAGCGTGTTCTATTTTCAAGAAATGAGGGATTTGGAGCCTAACAACCCCGTAGATCTTCGTGTAACAAAACATATATAGATTGGTCAGCCACCCAAGTTCATTGGATAGCCCACAGTGTTCTAGTTAAACCTTGACACATCCTTCAACAATGCCATTCCATTCTAAAAGTTTTTGGATGATGTTTGGATGAGCTGTGGCTTAATCCTGCCAGGCCCATGCCAACCAGTGCCTGTGGCGAGTGATCATGATGAAACGCAGCCCATGTGCGATATGGCCACTGCCAGTGTGACTTTTGATTTGACTATGCCCGTGGATGGTGATGACCTGGTGGAACCAGAACAGGAGGATGGAGATGATCCTGCTGCTGGCGCCAAGGTTGGGGCTTCTATGTCTATTTTCATGTTGGTGTAAATGCAGGGTTCCACTGGCAAAGAACACTCTTCAAGTAGAGCTGCGCCCAACCCCAATTGACATTTGTTGTAAACGCTTTTGAACACTGTACTTTAGAATTTCCACATGGTCTTTGAGAAAAAAACCTTTATAATTAACATTCTTGGTCAAAAATGACATCCAGAACACATAAACTGATGTGTGTTCCATCGCATATCTTTGGACCAACTGTCAAGGCTGCAGTGCTGACCCGTCGTCAGCAACTACAAGCCAAAGAGAGCAAAGAACAAAAGAGACAGGCAGAGCAGAAAGCCAAGAAGGAAGCGAAGAACAAGAAGAGTGAAGAGAAGGTTAAACAAGGACAGGATGAGGAACCAGAGAACCTTCCTGTCAAGAGGAAGCGTGGCCAGAAGAAAGAGGAAGCTGATGCTGAGTGCAGTGGTGAGAAGGGTGATGGAGAGGAGGTGCCCAAGAAACGGGGCAGGGCAAAGGCTCAACCCAAGGAAAAGGCTCAGCCAAAGGAAGAAGAACCGGGCCAAATGGCCAAACCCAAAGCAGAGCCCAAAGGCAAAGGCAGGAAAGCCAAGGATTTGCCGGAGACCAAGGAAGAACCAGAGATCAAACCAAAAGCCAAGGCAAAGGCCAAGGCACAAGCCCAGGAAACTGAAAATGACAAGAGCAGTGCTGAGCCGAAAAGGAAAGCAAAGGCTAAGGCAAAGGCCAAAGCCAAGGCTGAGTCTCAGGAAAAAAATGTGCCTGAGGCGGAGGAGGGTCAAGATGATGATCTCAAGCCCAGGAAGCTCTTTGAATCTGATGGTGAAGCTGAGGCAGAGAGCCCGCATGAGCGTGTAGATTCCAAGACTGGTGAGGTGAAGCCACTTGCCCAAATCTTGGAAGAGCATGAGCCTCGTAAGGCCCGAAGGGCTGCAGGCCAGACGAAGAGCTTGCGTGAGGCATCAGCTGCTTCTGTGAATGATGAAGAAGTGGCCAAGCCCAAGGGCAAGGGTAAGAGATGTGCTTCAAAGCAGCAAGACCTTTCTCCTTTTGCAAAGAAGGAGGCCAAACGCCGCAAGAAGGCTGAGCAAAATGTCATGCATGAGGAGGTTAAGGAAGATCTTGCGCTACAGGGCATTGTGATTCAGCACATCAAGAACTCGGCCCAGATGCCTTTGGATGAGCTCAAAGGGTATCTGAAGACCAAGGTTGCCAGCGAGTTTGAACGGTCCAAGCTTGATACATACTGGACCAGACCAGCCTGTGGAGTGAAATGCCCAGAGCTACAGCCCAAGAATGAGGGGGGTGACAAGAAGGCAGCAAAGAAGGCGGCACAACAGGGCCCACAGGTTGCCTACTTCGGAAAGTGTGGCACGGCCAAGACATGGAATGCCAATCTGGTCTGTTGCTATG